GTCTTGAACAGGACAGCAGACTGAGAATAGTAATAATAGCTGCCAGTGGCAGCTGCCCTGTCAGGCGTGGTGCCAACCACCATATATATGTTTCCTCAACGCTCTCAAGTCTAAGCAGAGGGTTTCAGTTTTATAGAGGAGGAAACAGGCCAAGAAGTCCAATAACTTGTTCAAAGTCATTCAACCAGAGAGCTGGAAGCTGGGGCTCAGGTCCAGGGTTTTTATTTGTTTGTTTATTTATTTACTTGGTTGCACCGGGTCTTAGTTGTGGCTCACTGGCTCCTTAGTTGCAGCGCATGGGTTCCTTAGTTGCAGCTGCAGGGCTTCTCAGTTGTGGCTCACTGTATCCTTAGTTGTGGCATGCGAACTCCCAGTTGCAGCATGCATGTGGGATCTAGTTCCCTGACCAGGGATCGATCCTGGGGCCCCTGCATTGGGAGCATGTAGTCCTATCCACTGTGCCACCAGGGAAATCCCAAGATATTTAGGGAGTTCTAGACAATGCTATAAGACTAAGAAAATAATGAGTATAAATTCTGGAAATGAATATAAATTTTCTGGAAAGACAATTTTTCCTTTTTACATCATAGAAAAATAAACTAAAACTATCAGAAGGAAAGGAAAGTACAATAAGGTGGTCAATTTCAATATAACTATATACAAATTATCATCCATCAGCAATGCCCAATAGAATATATGGTAGGTGTGCTAGTTACTAATTTATTGTCCCTCAAACCCCCAATACACCCTTTTGTCTTGCTTTGTGGTAATGGAGCCGGATCCCATGGACGTTTCTCCTTTGCAAGCCAACTTGTTGTTAATCTTTGTCAGTACAGGGTGAAGAACAATGTAAGGGCACACTGGAAAAAGGGACTTTCAAGTTCCTTCTTCCTTGTGTAGTTTTCCACTGGGGCCAGTAAGGGGAGGAGAGGGAGCCCAGTAGCATCCACTTCAGCGGTCTTCTTAGAACAGCCTGGGCTTCCAGCAAGTAGTTCAAGCAAATGCAGGAAGGTGTACGTAGTAAACATCTGCAAATGGAAAAATGGAAACAATCTAAATATACAAGAGTAAGGGACTTTAAATGGAATATGGAACTTCCATGTTATGGAATACTATGCACCTTGCACAACAGATGGATTTTGATAGACTTTTTTTTTTTTTAATATTTTGTCTCCACAAGGCATTACGGTTATCTGAGATGAATTTTTTAAAATTTATTTATTTTTGGCTGCGTTGGATCTTCGTTGCTGTGCGCGGGCTTCCTCTAGCTGTGTCGAGCACAGGCTGCTCTTCGTTGCGGTGCGGGGGCTTCTCACTGATGTGGCTTCTCTTGTTGCGGAGCATGGGCTGTAGGTGAGCGGGCTTCAGTAGTTGTGGCCCGCGGGGTCAGTAGTTGTGGCTCGCGGGCTCTAGAGCGCAGGCTCAGTAGTTGTGGGGCAACGGCTTAGTTGCTTCACAGCATGTGGGATCTTCCCGGACCAGGGCTCAAACCTGTGTTCCCTGAATTGGCATGTGGATTCTTAACCGCTGCACCACCAGGGAAGTCTACCTCTTTGGTAGACTTGAGCCAACAAAAATTCATTAAATAGAATTATTCCAGATTTACCTTAGAAATAATCATAGATGTAGAACTTAAGACTAAAATATTAATAGTGCTTATTTCTGAATGGCCTTATTAGGGATATTTTTAACTTTCAGTTATTTTAACCATCAGTTTTTCAACAAATATTGTGCCAGGCACAGTATTTAAGTTCTGGAAGTAGGGCAGTGAAAACAGTCTGATATCATGAAAATTATAGTCGAGTAGTGGGGGGCAAATATACAAATATGTCAGGTAGTGATAAAAGTTAGGAAGAAAAATAAGGCAGGGCAGAGGCATGGCAGCGGGGGCCGGGTGCTGTTTACATAGGGTTAGGGAAAAACCACTTTGAGGGAGTGCCATGTGAGCTGAGTGAGGAAGTTAGCTTTGTGGATATGGATGCCTTTAAAATTTTCCGTACTTTATTTTCTTTCCTACACTAAGGATGCAGTACTTGCATAATCAAACAACAACAACCACAAGAAAGGATTTTCTATTTCAGAAAAAGATCTGGAGCCTCATATCTCCAAGGGGAGTAAGAAGAGGGTGGGAGCAGGTCCAAATGCATAGAGCTTCCCCGACGCGGCCCGCCTGCTTTAGATTCTCCCCAGCCTGGAGAGCCCCGCTGTCCTTCAGTCAAATCTGCTGGTCGGGGTCAGCGTCCCCGACGGCCGCATCCTGCTGAGAGACCCTAGCCGACCCTCTGGAACAGAGAATCGGCGCAGGAGTTTCCCGGCCCCTCACTGGACTGCATTTCCCAGCAAGCTCCGCGCCCTGCTAGAAGCAGCTAAAGACTATTTGGGTGAGTGAGGGAACCCTAAAAGCTATAAACGAGTCTCCTAAGGCTGAGTTCCGGCTCCTGGACCACGGCCCCCTCAGCTCTAGATCTACTGTGTAGCGGAAAGAGCAGGGGACGGAAGGAAGAGTCCACGCCCGAGCATCCCTTGCGGCGGAACAGGCGATACACTCGTAGCTGGGCCCAGAGACGTCTCTGCCCAGCAGGCCAGCCTTGGCTTTTCCTTTTCACCCTTCACGGGCCAGAGGAACACAGAAAACTGAAAGACAAGGCGAGAGGGAGAAAGCGCGAATCTAGGGGCAGACCTCAGCCTGGGGGCATGGGTGTTGACCACATGACGTCACTGCCTTCTGATTGGCCACCCCTGGAAATTCTCACCGTTCATTGGTCATCCGTCAGGGAGAAGGCCGGTATAGTAGGCGAACGCCCTCCTGGGGAGAGTAGTTGGGAGTGCTTGTCTCGGCGCATGCGCCGTGTTGTTTCCCGGCGAGCCCCGCGCGAATTTCCGGCGCCGAAACCTGGAGGCGGAAACTGGGAACGCCTGGGCGGCTGTGGGCGGTGTGAGTCCTGAGGGGCGGGACAAGCGACGCGGCCCGCCTGGCTCCGAGGTCGAGCGCCGGGCTCCGGGCGGCCGGGGCCGGCGCCCCGAGGCAGGGGCCGAAGGGGGCGCGCACCTCAGGGAGGTGCAGGGGAGAAGCCTGGGGCGCCGCACCTGCTGCCCGCCCCTCCGCCTCTCATCTCCGCTCAGGCAAGGCTGCTGGGACCGAGCGCGGGGCTCTGGCCGGGTCCGCGTTCCCGACTGCCGAGTCCTACTGAGCGACCCTGGTGAGTCCCTGGCTCTGTCCGAGCGGAGCCTTCTCCTCGGTCACTGGAGGATGAGCATGGAGAGCGTACCTTTCAGAATAAAGTAAATAAAGTGCTTAGTGTGTAGTAGAAAAGAATTGGAAACAACCTGAATGCCTCACTCGGGTGGGTATTCATTAAGAAACGAGTATATCCATACCACGGAATCTCCTAGAGCGGCTGAGGCAGCATTGTTGGGTAGAAAAGCAAATGACAAAATAGTATTGCGGTAAGACCTGATTTATGTAAAAACACGCACAAAGCACTTTTCTCCTGGTTTCTATGGATATATTTCCCGTAAATGAACAGGGAAAGATTTGGGAGGTCATATGTCAGACGGTTAATGGGGGTGCAGCTGCAGTGTGGAAGGAAGAGTTTCTCTTTTATGTATTTCTGTATTGTTTAACCCCCCCTTTTGTTACAATGGTTTGTATCACTTTTTTTGTTGAAACAAAAAGCAATTAAAAATATTCCAGGAAAAAAAAATATTCCAGGGGCTTCCCTGGTGGCGCAGTGGTTGAGAGTCTGCCTGCCGATGCAGGGGACGTGGGTTCGTGCCCCGGTCCGGGAAGATCCCACATGCCGCGGAGCGGCTGGGCCCGTGAGCCATGGCCGCTGAGCCTGCGCGTCCGGAGCCTGTGCTCCGCAACGGGAGAGGCCACAGCAGTGAGAGGCCCACATACCACAAAAAAAAAAAAAAAAAAAAAAATATTCCAGGGCTTCCCTGGTGGCGCAGTGGTTGAGAGTCCGCCTGCTGATGCAGGGGACACGGGTTCGTGCCCCGGTCCGGGAAGATCCCACATGCCGCGGAGCGGCTGGGCCCGTGAGCCATGGCCGCTGAGCCTGCGCGTCCGGAGCCTGTGCTCCGCAACGGGAGAGGCCACAACAGTGAGAGGCCCGCGTACCGCAAAAAAAAAAAAATATATATATATATATATTCCAAAATACCTTTCAGGACTGTTGTGAAGAGAAGCAGTAAGGTATAACTATGTCTCACGTTCATGTGTATCTGGATAAATGGATCAGGATGGTGTCTGTGGACCCTTTGCTGATACACTAGGGGCCAAAATTTGAGAAAAATACAGTACATATATTGTATATTAAATAACACCGCTAGCGCAATCTGGTACAACACTCAGTAATCAAAACATTAGTTTTAAAAAAACATTTTTTGGGGCTGCACTGCACGTCTTGCGAGATCTTAGTTCCCCACCCAGGGATCGAACCCGGGGTCCCTAGCAGTGAAAGCGCGGAGTCCTAACCACTGGACCTCCAGGAATTCCCAGTTAAAAAGAAGTTTTTTTAATTGAAGAATAATATACAGAAATATACATCAGAAGTACAACTTGATAGATTTTTACAAACTGAACAAATACATTAATATTTCTCCCATAGAACCTATGAACATTTACATTAAGTGAGATAAATGGAGGTTATAAATATGCTCATCTCATGTCAGTAGACCAGATGGTGAAAACCTGGGAGTTTTGGATTTTGGAGCTGAGGATAAGGAGCCGCGGATCTGTATTGGTAGGAGAGAGTCATGTGAGCAAGACTTTATAGGAGAGCCTAAAATAGCCTTCAAGGCCAGGAAGAACGGGAGCTGGAGTCCCTGGATGTCCCTCAAGGCTGGTGATTGCTCATGTACCGCCCCCCTCCTGCTATTCTGCTCTTTCCCCAGGAGTGCCTGTCCAGATGCCAACCCAGCTGCCACTGGGGATCCCTCTGGGAGATTGAAGGCCCAGGTTGAGGCTGACCAGCCCTGAGCCTTAGGCCAGGGGAATGGCAGCCCCCCCAGAGCCTCAGGACCAGGCCCCTGGGGAGGGAGAAGGGCTTCTGATCGTGAAGGTAGAAGATTCCTCCTGGGAGCAGGACGCTGCCCAGCAAGAGGACAGCAGGGATTCAGAGGTGTGCCGCCAGCGCTTTCGGCAGTTCTGCTACGGGGATGCGGGTGGGCCCCACGAGGCCTTCAGCCAGCTCTGGGAGCTCTGCTGCCGCTGGCTGCGGCCCGAGCTGCACACCAAGGAGCAGATCCTGGAGCTGCTGGTGCTGGAGCAGTTCCTGAGTGTGCTGCCCGTGGGCGTCCAGGGCTGGGTATGCGAACGATGCCCAGGGAGTGGCGAGGAAGCTGTTGCCTTGGTGGAGGACCTACAAAAGCAGCCAGTGAAAGCTTGGCCACAGGTGAGGGGCCCCTCCCGCATCCAGGGGCACCTGGATAGCACCTGGACTGAGGAGAGGTGGCCATCTCTATAGAGATGAGTCCTCCAGGGGGTGGGGTGGGGGTTGGGGGTGGGGGAGGACATGGAGAGCCAGAGGGAGTGTCCACAGGAGCTTGTCATAATGTGTGGCCTTTCTGAAAGACACTGTCCAAGTGAATCTGGTTTCTTTTTGGTGGCTTTGTAGGGCAGCAGCAGGACCAAAGTGGGCATGCTCCAGGAAGGCAGGTTTTAGCTCCACAGGTTCTGCAAACGTTTATTTGTGTTCTGCTCTAGGCCAGGCCCTGGGGATACAGTGATGTGCATAGTGAGAGCACCAAAGGGGGTGTGAGAAGGTAGAGCTGTCCCTGTGAACCCTGCTGTCTTGTGGGGTGTTGGGTCCTTGACACTGGAAGCGTCTGGGGAGATGCTAATGTGTGGCGGGGGTGTGGGGTTCTGCCCTTGACAGGAAGGTCTCCCCCCACTGCCCCTTGCTAAGTGGCTCTTTGATTCTGGCCTTTGGGGGCTGGTTCTTGCCTCACGCTTGGTTGGGGAGTGTCCCTGGGCACATAGCACTGCCTGATGTCACATTCTCATCTGGTCTTTCCTGGGGCCCTGTGTTGACCTTCCCCACACCCAGCCTCCTAAGGGATGTGTCCTGTGTCTCCTTCCCAGGGATTAAACTCTGTCTCCCCCATCTGGTCTTGGTGCTGATGAGCATGTTGTGGTTCCTGCACAGGATGTGCCCTCAGAGGGGGCGGAACCTGAGGCTGCAGTCCAGGGATCTCAGGCCCAGGGGCCTCCCCGGAAGGCAGGGACACAAAGCCGGCCACCTGTACCCTGGGAGCAGCACAGCCATGATGGTGAGTAAACTTGAAGGTGGCAGAGTGGCTGGACAGGGGCCTGGGTCTTTCCTGGACGTTGCCCTAAAGGGAGCAAGAAGGGTATTTCTTTTCTGAGAAGGCAAGGTGTGTACGTGTGTGTGTGAAGGAGAGTTGCAAGATCTCACTCCCGGCCTGGGCTGGCCTCTTTGAGGCTCCATTCTTTCCATGCAGCCCAGCTTCCGGCTCTTCTTAAAGAGGGGAGCACCAGAGAGACGACAGGTACCTGCTTTGCCTCTGGGGTGAGTTACCAGTTCCTTTGTCCCCTCTGATTCTGATGAGTCCCTGTAATGGGTCTTGTCTTCTCACCAAGGCCTCTTCCATCCATCCTTTTCTGGCCTGGACCTGTCCTGTTTCCCATCCCCCTTCCTGTCTCTGCCCATGACTGCCTGGGGAGTCCTGAGCAGGGCAGCCCTGAGCTGGGTTTTCTCACCTCATTCCAGGGACCTGTGACATTTGGAGACATTCCCTTCTATTTCTCCCGGGAAGAATGGGGGTCCCTGGACCCTGCTCAGAGAGATCTCTTCTGGGACATAAAAAGGGAGAACTCCCAGAACGTTGCCCTGGGTAAGCAGTGGGCACAGCGAGGGGCCTAGGGGTCCTTGGCTCTTTTGAGCTGGAGGCTCTTGCCTCCTTGGAGTCCCAGCAGCAACGGGTGGGCCCAGTCAGGCCCCACCCCTGCACACCCTGCTGGAATCCTCAGTCTTCCTCCCAAGTCCTGGCTTAGCTGGCTCCAAAGAGGGCTTTCCCTGCATCTCTGTAAGAGCCCCCGGAGGTTTCGTTTGTGCTGGTGTTCACTTTTCTCTGCCTGTGATGGCATGGGCAACATGCTAGGACTGTGCTGAGCACGGGTACAGGCATTTTCTCATGGGATCCTCACAACCCACCGCATGAAAGCGTGTGCACGTTTATAGACGAGGGACCTGAGACTCAGAGAGGTTGAAGGACACTGAAGGGACGGAGCTGGGACGTCGTGCAAACGTGGTTGTGAGGCCCACTCAGCCTGCCCAGTGAAGAGGTGCGGAGAGACACCTGCTCACTAGAGGCCACGCTGCTGGGTTTCTCTCCAGGTCAGGGCCTTCCTAAGCACTGTTTGGGGATCATCTCATTTAATCCGTGCAACCCAGTGGAACCAGCTAAGATCCCTCCCGATCCACTTCCGTTTGTTCTTGAGCTGAGAGGACAAAAGCTTGTGTAGCGAGAGGAACCATGTTAGCTGAGCCCTGTGGTTCCTTGGTTGCTGATAACAGATGGTGAGGGTTGGGATCATTTACAGATGACCTCAATCTATGCAGTTTTGGCATTTGAATAGCCAGGGCTTGGGGTGGGATGTTGGATCGCAGTGTGGGAAGGGGGTGTAGATTGGTTAGGCCTGTAGTTAGTAAGTGCCTCTGCTGGAGACCCCCAGCAAGCCCCTTGCTGCTTACTCTGAACGGTTTCTCTGTCGTCGTTTTCTCCTGTCCCCATTCCATGGAGGAGGAAGCTGAGGCTGGAGTTTGCTGGAGCCCAGGGCTGTCTGAACCTGAGCCCCAGGCGCTGGCCGGGAGCCTCATTTCTGCCTCCCCTCAGCTCTGTCCCTGGAACCGCGTGGCACTGAAGAGGCCGCCTCCTCCCCGCTTGCAGGTTTGGGACTCACGAGCCACAGCGAGAGATCCCGGCTGGAGGAGGTGGTGACGGCGCTCCCAGGCCAGGCTGCTGGTGACGTGACCGTGTCCTGGAGGCTGGAGGAGGCCGAGGCCCGGCCGGGGGTGCCCCGGGGGCGGGCAGCGGGGGCGCGGCGGGGGCGGCCGCCCACGCGCCGGCGGCAGTTCCAGGACCTGGCGGCTGAGAAGCCGCACAGCTGCGGCCAGTGTGGCAAGCGCTTCCGCTGGGGCTCTGACCTGGCGCGCCACCAGCGCACGCACACGGGCGAGAAGCCGCACAAGTGCCAGGAGTGCGACAAGAGCTTCCGCAGCTCCTCGGACCTGGTGCGCCACCAGGGTGTGCACACGGGCCAGAAGCCCTTCTCCTGCTCCGAGTGTGGCAAGAGCTTCAGCCGCAGTGCCTACCTGGCCGACCACCAGCGCATCCACACAGGCGAGAAGCCTTTCGGCTGCAGTGACTGCGGCAAGAGCTTCTCACTGCGCTCCTACCTGCTGGACCACCGGCGCGTGCACACGGGCGAGCGGCCCTTCGGCTGCGGCGAGTGCGACAAGAGCTTCAAGCAGCGCGCCCACCTCATCGCCCACCAGAGCCTGCACGCCAAGATGGCCCAGCCTGTGGGGTGAGGGCCAGAAGGGCGGCCCAGGCAGGGTCCCCACCCGGCCCAGTCCACCATCTCCGCTGCCGGCAGGACTGCAGGGTCCCCCACGTGCAGAGCCCATCAGCCCTGCCCGCCTGGGGACCTGGCCAGTGCCCCCCAGGCATGGAGTCCCCTGTGACCTCGTGGCCATGCCCCTAACTGCTCTGGGGTTTTTCTTGCCCCCTGGTTTCCTGGAGCCCCGGCACATTCCAGGCTGGTGGCATGAGCACAGGGGAGAAGCTGGGGCACAGGGATGTATGAGGACTCAGGCAGGCCTGGGGTCTCTATCCCAGAACCCCCTCAGCCTTGCTTGGCCCCGTCGCTCTCTGTTCCCGGCCTTCTCGGCTGGGCCTTTTGTCCTGCCATCCTGTGCCTTCCCACGGGGGTGAAGGCTAAGCCTTAGGTACTGCTGGGCTCTGGGAGGGTCAGTCAGCCCACACCCATGAGGACCTGGGTCCTGGGTGCAGCCACAGGGGCTTTCTGGCCTCCACCCCTTCCCACTTCCAGACATTGACTGCTCTGCCCTGTCCCAGCAGCATGCAAGTTGCCTGCCTCTGCCTTCAGCCAGCTCGCCCCCAGCTGAGTTCCCAAGAGTCACCCTCTACCAGTCTGGGGAGGGTGGTGTTGGCTCCAGGGACAGAGGCCAACTGTGCAGACCAAGAACAGGGCCAGCGGAGGCCTGCTGCCCCTGCTGCTCCCGTCTCCTGGAGTCTCGGGATTTATGGTACTTAACACTAGCACTCCATCAGCACCTTGTCACTAACTCCTGAGGCACTGTATTCCCTGCAGAAGGGCATTCACAGGGACAGACCACAGGCCCTCCCAAGGAGCTGGCCCAGCTGGCCTCAAAGGGCAGCAAAAAGGTTGAATAAACATGAAAACTTTCTCCAGGCTGTTGTTCTTTAGGTGGCTGCTGGGGGTTGGGGGGGGACCTGGAATTTGTACCCCTGGGCCTCCTGGCTTGGTGGTCCTAGTGGCACGTGATGCTGGATGGTCATCAGGTGGAGCCACATTCTTGGCTTCCAGGTCACCTGGGCCCCAAGGGCTGCCATGAGCCTTGGGTCCTTCATCCTGTCAGCTAGTGCCTGCCCTAGTCTGAGGACAGCTCAGGATGGGACAGCTGGTGGCACCCATCCCTACTCAGCAGGAGAGTGAGGGAGCTGACTGGGAGTGGGGTCTACGAGGCCACTCCCTCTCTCCCTTTGATGAAATGAGGAGCCAGGCTCAGAGTCCGTGACTGGTCAGGGTGGTGGCTCATGCTGCCCATAGAGGATCTGGAGCGCTAAGCTGGACCCTGTGCTCAAATCCCTTAGGGAGAGAGTGCTGCTGAGTCAAAATGGGCCATGCCCCATCTCTTCACATCTGACCCTACCCGCCCCCCCTGCCGTCCCCAGGCTGGGCCCTGTGGAGCTGGTGGGCACGTGCTGAGAGCACCTTCTACCCCACAGAGTCCTTTTTGAATCACCAGGTGGTGGTCTCAGGGGCCACCTGAGAGGCGGTGGGGGCGGGCTGAGACAAGATGTTTTGTCCCGCAGTGTGTGTGTGCCAGCCTCTCTGCGCCCCCATTTAACCCGGGCTTCATCCTGAGGTCACTGGACAGACCCCATTTCCCAGATGAAGCTGCCGGGGTCTCACTGGACAGCTGAGTCCAGCCCGGGGTTTCTACCACTGGGATGTTGCCCTTCACTGCTCCCCATGCCCTCAGGCTGGCAGTTGGTGTGTGTGTGTGTGCGTGTGTGTATGGGTGCCCTGAATGAGTGAGTAGGGGTGATGGGTGGTGGGAGCAGTGCACAAATATTTTTGGTGCTGGTGGCTGGCTCAGAAGGGAGACACTGGGGTGTAACGAGATCAGATAGCAGGTGGGCCAGGAGCTAAGAATAGGATTGGACACAGGCTCCTGGTGCAGGTGGGGGCGTGTTAGTGCCAGCCAGGAAGCAGCCCGCTGGAGCCAGGGAACAGAGCAGGGCCTGGGGTCGTAGGGCCCAGAACACAGGGTTCCAGGGCAGGGGACAGGGTCCAGCTCAGCTCATAAACAGAGCTGATAGGACGGGACTCAGGGAGAGGCCAAGGGTTGGGACCAAGAGCATTGGCACTGGGCCCAGGAGGTGAACTCTGTGCTCAGAGGAAACCCCCACATAGCCCCATGGCTTTCCTGGTGTCTGGGACCCTGCAGGTGGCCTCGCAGATGGCAGATGCTCGGGGCAGCTTGGGAAGAAAGTCGGAGACACGCCCTGACCCAGCCCAGCTGGCTCCCAGCTGAGCCCTACCCTGGCCCGACTCTGGCCTTGCCTCCCCAAGGTAAGTACAGTGGGCAGGGTCCAAGGGTGGCCCTGACACTCAGCAGTCCTGAGGTGTCAGCCTCTACAGTCGCTGTCCTGGAGGGTGTGTTCCGGACGCTGGGCTTTGAGAGCTGCCAGAGGTGGGAGGCCTTGGTCCAGGTGAGCCCTCGCCTGCCTCTTCCCACCTCTGCCCCCAGTCCCACCTGGGGTCTCCCTGGACTCAGGCCCAGCACTTGCTCTTGCCCTAGGGTTTCCGTGGGGAACTGGTTAGGTTCCCGGAGCAGCTGGATGCCCACGGGGGCCCTGTGGGCTGTGCTCTACTGGCCTTGGTGGCCCCCAGCGAGCAGCTGAGGCAGCCCCAGCAGCTGTCCAGGAGCTGAGCCGCTGTGAGGCTGGTGGGACTGCTCCAAGTCTTCCTGCTGCTCTCCACTTCCCCCCGGGGGTGAGTGGGCTGGCCAGGGACCCCCAGTTGCGGGGCAGGGCAAAGCGGGTCTGGGGGGTGGGCAGGAGGGCTGAGACTCTCCCTCCAGGCCTGTGTGCTGCTTCCCCACCCAGCTACCCCCAAGCCTGGAGCCTTCCTCACTGGCCTGGGCGAGCTCTGTGGCTGTCGTCCTCACTGGTCACTGCTGCAGCTGCTGACCAGGTGAAAGCCCAGAAGGGGCATCCAGGAGGGGGGCTGTGGCTCTGCTGTGTTGTCCTGAACCCATTACCTCCACCCATTCATTCCACAACATAAGGCCGTGTTGTCTGCAATGGGTGTCAGCTTCAAAGCCTCACCTCCCACCCCCACCCACGCCCGTCCTCACAACCCACTCAGGGTCCCCCACACGTTGCAGTATCTTCTCAGCTCCGTGCCTTTGCCCAGGCTGCTCCCTCTGCTTGGCATCCCTCCCTCTCGACCTGGCCTCACACAGACCCATCCAGGCGTCAGCCATCCCCTTACCATCCCTGGGTTGACACTTGTATTCCCATCCACCCCTGTTCACACTTACGTGGCAGTGACTGTCTCGTCAGACTGTGGGTCCCTGGGGTCCAGGGTTGGGGATGATTCAGGTCTGGTCCCGAGGCCCAAAGGTCTCAGTGGGCAGTTGGGTGGTCACTGGAGGTGAGAATGGGCCCCAGCTCTGCTCCACAGTTGTCCCCAGCCTCCCCAGGCGGTGCCCACCCAGGGCACAGGGACGCTGGTGTGGGACGCACACTCTCCCCTGGTTGTGGCTCTGGCTGCAGGCACCACCAGCCACCCCCTCCCTGGCCGATGTCCTCCACATCTATGCTGATGTGCAAGGTGGGTCTACCTACCTCAGGGAGCCTGGGCTTGGGCGGGGCTGGTGGGGGGGAGCTGTCTGGAGAGCACTTCCAGGGCCCTGAGCTGGGATCCTGCTGCCACCTCCTTCCTCTCTTCGCCAAGAAGATGGGAAGGAAAACCTTAAATGGCAAAGGCCTTTGAAAATGGAGAGTTTCTTCCCCTACTTGAGCCTGAAACAACCCTGGAGACAGGAAGGTGAAATAGCTTTTCCGAGGCCACACAGCTGGTAAGAAGCAGCAGGGCTGAGATTTGAAACTTGATCTGGCTTTCCTGCTCTGCACTCTTTCTACTGCCCTGTGTGCCCTTGAGCAAGACTGGAGGAGACCCTTGGGGCTGGTGGAGTCCCAGGATGCTGGGTAAAAGGCTTTGGTCCCTCTTGCAGGCAGCTTCTCCAGGGGCCCCACTCCAGGGAGCCCTAACCAAGCAGACATCTTGATGGTCTACGCAGCCACTGAAGGTAAGGGGATGGGTCTCCACAAAGCCCATTACACAGGGCCTAGCCTCCTGGCCAGAGATCTGAAGTGGCTTTAGGAGCATCTGGCACTTGGCTGTTGGGGTGCAGGGGCACCAGCCTCGTCGCAGTTAAGCCGTCTTCCTTCCATGTATATTATTTATGATAATAGTAATGGTGGTGAGCACATATTGAGGGCTGGCTCTGCTAAGCACTGTACCTGCATCCTTTCCTCTAGGCTGTAAGTTCCATGAGGGCAGGACAGTTCTGTCTGCCTCAGGGCCCTGGCCAGTGCCTGGCACGTAGTAGGTTCACAGTAAATGTTTCTTCGATATTGAATCCATTGTATATTCACTACACAAACATTGAGCAACAACTTGATCCAGAAGCGAGAAGTTCCTGCTCCCTGCCCCATTCTCTTGCCTGACTGCTGGGGTCCTGTGTGCTTGCCCCCACTTCCACCAACAATAGGCCCCTAGGGATTGGAAGGCAGCTGGCAGGGGCCTGAGTCTGACACTCTGGCCCTGGTCCCCTGGCCTGGCCTGTGTAGCCTTTCGGGATGAGAAGGGCTCAGACTTTGTCCAGATGCTGGTGGAGGTCCTCAGAGCTGACCCCAGGGGAGACCTCCTGGAGCTGATGACTGAGGTGAGTTGGGGGTGGGGGGTCGCCTGGGAAGAGGAGCTGGATTCATCCTTCTTCTCAGCCCTGGTGTTCTGGTCACCTCCTATTCACCCCGTTGCAGAGGGAGGGATACCCCGCCCTCAATAGTATGAGATGGTTGAACACACAACACCCGGCCCTGGACAGTGAGACGGACAGCAGTTATTAACCACATATACTCACAGCTGGGGGAGGAGGACACCTCAGGCCATTCCGGCCACTCAGTGTTTCCCTGGGGAGCACAGGGAACCAGCAGGGGTTGTAGATGCAGACTTTGTAATAACGGGGTGGGGTACTAGTTTGAATAATTTCACAGGCTGGCAGGGAACTGGGGTGGAGTGTGGCTGATCTGGCTGGTGGGGGAACTAGCGGGATGGGGGGGCCTTCCCTGCTGGGTCGGGGGGTACAGCTGACAAGAGCAGGGGAAACCAACGGGGCCTGTGAGACCCAAAGATGTGAAGGCAACACTTGAAACTTTAGGCCTTACAATACACTGGATGCCAGGCTGGGCGCTGGGGGACCTGGCAGTCCTGGGCACAGGTCAATTGGCAGGTGTGCAAGCTAGACGTGCTGGGTCCCGACTGTGATGAGCGCTGCAAGGCCTGTCTGGAGATCCGCAGCTTGTTGAGGTGCTGACTCTGCCTGCAGGCCTGACTGAGCCCACAGCTACCAAGGGGGTGCTGACTGTGGGTGGCCACACACCAATGCCATCCCTGACCCCATCGGCTCCTCGGTTTCCTCGGTTTCCTCATCTAAAAACGGCACGATAGCACGGGAGGCTTAGCCGCCATGGAATAAACATGATGATCGCTGTACACGTGAATAGCGCCTGCACGCAGGGAGCTGTGACACTAAGTGAGATAATGTATGCAGAGTGCCTGGCACTTCAGAGGCTGGGCCCACCGGGTGAGGAGGGGGAGCAGGGGAGGCGCCAGGGCAGCCTCCAGCTCTAAGAAACCCAACATGGGCTAGGCTGAGCTGGATGTCCTGGGAAAGGGCAGCGCGGGGTCCACACCATCTTCCCAGCACGCGCACCCCACATGCACACCACGCTGGGGCCACGGACAGGGCCTCTGCCTATACAGCAGTCAGAGTCCATTCTGGGGCCATAAGACTGGAACAGAGCATGGCAGGTTTAGCGGTGCTGTGATAGGGGAAGCAAAGGGGCTGGGGAAGCAGAGGGCAACTCCTGACCCACCGCGGGCCGGGGGCACGTGGGAGAAGAGATCAGGAGCCTCTCGGGACAGGAGGGGCTTGGGCAGCCTCACCCAGGCTCGAACCCTCACTTGGGCTGTGCTCAGTAGCGCTCAGTCGCACAGCTTGGAGCCCCGCTCACACCGAGCCCGAGGGGCGGGGCTCCTTGCCAGTGTGAGCATGCGTATTAGGGCATATTGAACAGGCGCCTGAGAAAGCTTTATGAGAAAAGCCGTAACAGAAGTAGCGGCAAGGCCGCGTGGCCTAATGGATAAGGCGTCTGATTCCGGATCAGAAGATTAAGGGTTCGAGTCCCTTCGTGGTCGTTGCGGAGATTGCTTTTTCTACTCCGGGTACAAAAAACAAACAAACGCTTTTCCCTCTCTCCAGACTGCTCTCTGCGCGGGCCTAGGATCCTCGGGCTATGTCCGCCTACCGACCTCCAGCCCCTCGGACGTAGCTCGGGACGCGTGGGAGGCCCTGAGGGCGCTGTGAGGGCCTATAGTGCTCGGATCCAGGCGGAATGCTGACCCTGAAGCCCACCGGCCGTGAGTGCCGGGAGCCCACACGGGACTGGCTGCATGAATATAGTTCAGACGACGAGAACTGTGACAGAAGAGGGGTTGAATTTTTGCACGGGTAGGTCACCCCCAAGGGGTCAGTGGACAGGGGCGTTAAAAAATATAATAGATTATTGTGATGAAGAAGTTTTGGAAATAGATAGTAATGATGCTTTTGCACAATATTGTAAATGTAACTGATGCCAGTAAACTGTACATTTAAAAATGGTTAAAATGGCAAATTTAACCTTAAGCGTATATTTTACCACAATAAAAAATGTGAAAAGAAATTAATAGATTATTTTGATTTCTTGCAGTGAGAGTATACCCTTAAATGATTAGTGTGAATGTTTTTTAAAAAATTTAAATGTAAAGAATATGCCCAGGATTGAGTCATCATTTTACCTGGAAAAAACAACTCTGCCTGCGGAACCGAGCTCTTACCAAGGGATTCTGGCTAAGCAGAATGACCAAAGTGATGGGACCTCCTCCCACCAGGGAAAACGCTGGGGGAATGGCAGCTGAGCGTGTACCCCTACAGTGGGCGCAGGTGACCTTGGGGTCATGAGGAGTGTCACCATCTCCTTAATCGTTTTTGTGATGTCTCAGTGGTTTACTAAGGGCTTATAAATAAAAAGAGAAACTTCATTAAGATAAACATTTCTATTATTTTCCCTACTTTTATTGAGATATAATTGACATATAGCACTGTATAAGTTTAAGGTGTACAGCATAATGATTCGACTTACATACATCATGAAATGCTTATCACAGGTTTAGTGACCATCCATCAACCTGTGATGAGAACTCATAGGATTTTCTGTCTTAACTCTTAGGATTAACTCTTCTTATAACGTACAGCAATGTTAATTCTCTTTATCACGTTGAATACTACACCTCTAGTACTTACTTATAACTGGAAGTTTGTACCTTTTGACTACCTTCATCTAATTCCCCCCACGCCTCCCTCCACCCCGCCTCTGGTAGCCACAGTAAGACAAATACTTTAGAGATGGCAAAGAATACCCATCTTCTGGTGGGAAAGTAAACGCTGGGTCCTCTGATACTAGTTTCACACTCTACCAACTGAGCTGGCTGGGCAGATACAGAGCCATTACGGAGCATCCTTAGGACAAAGACCTAAGGCCATTGGGCTCTGCTAAAAACTGCACAGACTTGGAACCAGGAAACACTTTTGGTCTAAGGGGCAACGTAGGGAGGAGGATGAAGATAGGGACAGACACTTTTCCCAAGCTCCCGGCTGTTGCCTTTCTCCCTTCCGCTCCCACATTTTGCATAACGAACGCCTTTTTTTTTTTTTTTAAGTACTTAAAGACTTTATTATATTAGACTATATTATATTAGACTAACTATGGAAACACAGTTCCATTGAACACATTCTTTATGCACTATACTTAAAAATATAAAATACAAAACGAATTTAAAGTACTTATATTAAACCAAATTTTCCTTGTTTTTTTGTTTAGCTTTCTTTGACACCATAAAAGAAAGAAAGAAAGAAAAAGAACAGAAAGTATATTAAAAGAAAACTATTAGGTATAATTTTTTTTAACTTTTACTTTACCTATCATATTTAATATTTCCAAGACTATTTGGCCATGGAGAATCATACACATCACACTCAAAGTTGTGTGATCACCAGTCCCCTGAGAGCTAGAGGACCAAACAGAGCACGTCAGGGAGAGGGGGCAGCTGGCTGCACAGCCCCGCACGCCCTCCAGGCCCTGTCGTCCCCAGAGGCCAACGACGAGGACAAGGTGGCGGGAGGATGGGCCCAGGAAACAGCATTGGTGCCGCTGAGTCAAGGCTGCCTGAAGGTCACGGCCACTCGTGCAGGGCTAGGAGGATCTTCAGACAGATGGAGGAGGGAGTTAGGAAGGAGGATGGTCTTCCCCCCGGATGCTCCGGTACTTAGCCATGTCCTCAGAAAATACTTTAGAAAGTTCTTGAATCAACCGGATTTTAAATTTCTTCATTGTGTCCATCTTGCCTTTAACTTGTTCATTTTTAGCCAGAGCCCTCTCCAGGCACTCTTTGGTATAGAGTTGGGGATTTCGACCTTGATCTATGTATTCAAAAACTTCTAAAGGGACAGTAACATCATGAAGTTGCTGTCTGCACTTATCGATATCCTGTAAGCCAGTAACAATAAAATTCAACTTCTGGTTGAGCCCGGCCTGGCTGCTGGGCTGGAAGTCGCTGACGATGATGCCGAGCTGCCGGATGTTCTCCACGAACTTCTCCAGGTGCTCCTCCAGGTGGTCGAACTTCTCGGTCATGGCCCGGCCGTCCGCACCGCCGCGGGCGCGCTCCTGCCCCCTCGAACGCCTTCTTGATGTTAATTATCCCAGGACTCGGATTCTCCTAAAAAGATGGGGAAAGGGCTCACCCGGGACTTGATCCACAGACTTCCTACATCCTAAGCGATGATTGTACCTCAGCTCCATCCGCGCGTGCGCGATCTCTCCCGAGCCCCAGGATGCTCGGGAACCGGCGGTATCTAAGAGGATGCACCCGCCGAATACGGACGTCAAGGGGACCAAGGACCCGCTGAGCTGGAGCCGGGAGGCTGTGCGTAATGTGCAGGAACCGCGGGGAGGTGACAGAAAGACTGGTTTAGGACCGTTGTGAAACGTCTCTCGTCAGCCCCGGTGGCCTAATGGATAAGGCATTGGCCTCCTAAGCCAGGGATTGTGGGTTCGAGTCCCACCCGGGGTACAGGAGGTAGTATTTTAAACTTTCTGCCAGAGGAAAAATGAAATGAAGCTAGCTGTCTACTTACCCTAGTGGGAAATTAAAGGGCCCTGGGGTTTAGCCAGATGCCACCCTATAGCGAGGTTGGACAAGGTTTACTTTTCTGATAAAGATGTGCACGTTTTCAGATTTCGTACATAATAAAGTTTTCTCTCTTTTTAATCCATGCCCTCATCCTCAAGGTAAAAATCTCCCAAACTGCAGGACATGGTGAAGTAAAATCAGAAGCCTCCTTTACCACATGCCCAAAGAGGAGGTGGCCGCTGAGGCTTTGTCATATATACACATAGTTCTCTTTTATTTTAAAAAACCATGGATGGGACTCTTCTGTTCCTCCAGCTCTGGCCTTACTTCTGCTTTCCCAAGCACCTGAGGTCCCATCATCCAGGGACCTCAAACCAGGGACCTCATCTCAATGCAGCATCTCCCACCATCATATGTGGCCTGCAGAGAACAGTGACCACAGAGCTATCCAAGGCTGCTGGTGCTTCCCTCACCAACGTTTCTCAATGCCTTATTGAAGGGAATGTCCCTGGGGCCCTCTCAGTGGCGTGGTGGGTGTGCTTTTCGTGTATGATAGACCCGTTCTAGCATTTCTGTCTCACAGAGTCTTTGGATTCCTTTCTCTACATGATGCCAGGAACATCCTTGAATCTTAATCTCCTTAAACATAGGCCACCATTGAGTTCCATGCTTAGCCAACCAACTAAGAAAACTGGCAGAGCCACATTCAGCTGCACAAGATAACACATTAGATACAGGCTTGCTGGGAAGTGCACCCAGAGAAATAATGTCACCAGTTGCAAAAATCCCATCCTCCTTATTCTAACATCCTTGGGTCCATTCCCATACACATTCCCTAGTTCTCTGCTGGCATAAATGAACAGAATTTGCAATTCTTTTGGCATATGAATGATTTCCTCCCAGGCCAGCCTTTGTCCTTCTCCTACAGCATGCTGATCTGATTGTAGTTATAGGGCAACCAGTGTTAGCGGGTAACAAGGCTGGCTGGTGTGGGCTTTGAGGAGAACCGTCATCCCCTGTCTCACCTGCCATGCTCCAGGTGAGATTATTATAGGATATTCAAACACAGGAAGGCTACTCTTCTCAGATATCAGAGGACAGGCTGCTTTACACTGGCGAGGGAGGCTCCAAATGACTCAGGGGTTCAAGATTCTCAACTAGGTCTGAGCCTACCTAGATGTCCCCAGGCTTCGGCTCCACTCCTTCATAATCAATGCCGTTTCTTCCACATGGAAGATCTCCCAAGTCTATGAACTCAACTTACATTGTCATTCTGCAACATACTTCATTCGATTATGTGTTTGATTTTCAGCAATGTCAGCCCTGCAGCTATACGATTATTTTACGTCTGCCAGAAAACGTCCCTGGATCTCTGAACATGACTTAGGCTGAAAATTTAAAGGCCTGATCTTGTCATTTTCTTTCTTTAAGCAAACGGATGCACCCAGGAGAATCCTTTCCATGCCACAATCCTTGTAGTCATCTTTACTGCCGTAAGATTCAAGTGCAGCAGCCAAGTGGTCTCCCAGGGCACTTGCTTCAGCCAGCACTTCATCATAATCAACCAGGTGATAGGCGGCTTGATAACGATGCCCTTGCATGCCATGAGTCACCAGTATCCCATTTCCCATTGGCAAGGAGCTCAAGCCCAAATTCATTACCAAACCAGGGTCCACGCAGCAGTCAAAAAACCCATCCGTTGGGGGGTGGGGGGAATGGGGAGAGGTTGGTACAAGGATACAAGCTTTTAATTATAAGACGAATAAGTTGTGGGGATCTAATGTACAGTATGGTGATTATAGTTAATAATACCGTATTGTTAACTTCAAATTGCTAAGAGTAGATCTTAAGTATTCTCAACACACACACGCACACACAGAAGGTAACTTTGTGAAGTGATGGATGTGTTAATTAGCTTGATTGTGGTAATCATTTCACAAGGTATAGATATATCAAATCCTCACGTTATACACCTTCAATATATATCATTTTTATTTGTCAATTATACCTCAATAAAGCTGGGGGAGGGTAAGAAAACCTATTTGTTATTGTAAGACTAATGAAAACTGGTAACTATGTAAAAAGCATTGTTAAGGAGGCAGTTGAGAAGGCAGAAGGGAACCGTGAGAAGGCAGCTATCACCCACGGGGCTGGAGGACCACAGGAAGAGGTTGGGATTATTAAAAGTTAGAAGCTTGGAGAGAAATTGTGGAGCTTAAAAACCGATCTCTGGGGCTTCCCTGGTGGCGCAGTGGTTGAGAGTCCGCCTGCCGATGCAGGGGACACAGGTTCGTTCCCCGGTCCGGGAAGATCCCACATGCCGCGGAGCGGCTGGGCCCGTGAGCCATGGCCGCTGAGCCTGCGCGTTCGGAGCCTGTGCTCTGCAACAGGGCACCCCGTCAGCTTGCGCAGGTGGTTCTCATGAGCCATGATGAGGGTGGTTCTGTGAGTGCGGGGAAAATAAACTGGATTCAGCTGCCATTTCTGGAAAGAACTAGTATTGCAGGAATAAAAAAGCGAGGCTGGGTGGGGTGGGTGGCAGTAGGAACGGGAAGCAAACAGGAAGTAGAGTCCCTTCTTCCTCCGCCAGCCTTTCAGCCTCTAGAGTGCCTCCTATCGGCAAAATATGACACAGATCCTCTGGCAAAGCGCAGTACAGTCAGTCCCCCACATACGAAACTTCAAGTTGCGTACTTTCAAAGAGGCGAATGTGTGTTCGCATGTCTAATCACGTAAGTTAGTTCACGTGTCTGGCGTATATTGTCACATGCGTGCATCCTATACAAGTGGTTATGCTTTTGTGTACTTTACTGTACAGTACTGTATAGAGGGCAGTAGTACAGTGTCTTTATTTCAAGCCCAGGATGTCCGGAAGCAAGCATAAAAACAGCAGTGATGTAGCTGGTACTACTGTACTTTTCAAGGTACTGTACTGTAAGATTAAAAATGTTTTCATTTTGTGTTTTTTATGTATTATTTGTGCGAAAAGTATTATAAACCTATTACAGTACAGTACTATATAGCCGATTGTATTAGTTGGGTACCTAGGCTAACTTTGTTGGACTTAGGAACAAATTGGACTTATGAACGTGCTCTCGGAATGGAACTCGTTCGTATGTAGAGGACTTACTGTGTCACTAAGCGGGGTCTACAGGATGAGTTTGAAGCTGAGGGATAAAAGTTTAAATACTGGCCCACGGGTCTATCCTGCTTCCCCCGCTTCCTTACAGATGCCTCCTCAGAGTGTTCCCTTCATGAACTGATTACACAAAAATCCCTGGAAACTTGTCCTAAAATAGTTGGAAACAGACTCTAAGAATGAGAATGTTACCGAACCAAACTTGGGTCTGCTCAGCTTTGTGCAATAAAGCCAATCTACTGACACCGGGTGGTGGTGAAGGAAAGTGCAGCGTTTATTGCAGGCACCGCGCAAGGAGTCCAGTAAGCTAGCGTTCAAAAGGCCCGAACTCCCCAGATGGCTTTCAGAGAAAGGTTTTTAAAGACAAGGTGAGGGATGGGGGTTGTGGGGGTGTGTGATCAGCTCATGGACATTCTTCTGATTGGTTGGTGGTGAGGTAATTGGGAGTCAACATCATCAACCTTCTGGTTCCAATCGGTCTGGGGTCTACATACGTGCTTTTGGGCAATCTACAGTTAACTTCTACCACCTGGTGAGGGTTTCAGGCTCTGCAAAACAGCTCAGAATATTATCTACAGCCCTTGAGGAGGAGGTAAAGGTGCTTGACTTTGTTTAATGGCTAAACCACTGTCTTGCTTGACTGTTTTCCTTTCTTTCTGCATTTTCTCACTTCTCTGATTAAATTTATTCTTTGGAACTTGGGGAAGGCCTAGGAGGCTAATGTTTTCTACAGATGAGGGCAGGCGAAGGACATGGGGGGAATCTGTCCCTGGAAGGCCCCATAGGGTCCTGCTGGGTTACAAGATTCCAAGGTTGAATCACCTTCTGGCTGCCTGGCACCAAGGAGAACATCACTGGTGGTAGGTAGACTTCTGAGAGACCCGGGTATGCTGGAGCCATGCAATTATTAAGCCTTTTGTCCCCGTTGAACTGGGATGGCTGTATGGGAGGGAGGTCACCCCATGTCTCTGGCATTTTGGAGATACAGTGGAAATGTGATCATTGTAAGCATTGTGGAATTATGTGTTGACGCATTGAAACAAAAATGTTTCAATGTCTTTAATACATTGAACCCCGAGAATGACAGCCTCCGGTGGACTAATCACCAATTCAAAGCAGTGTGAACATCAGAGGCTGCTCTGGCAGCATTGAAAGCAACCTACATCTTCTACAGGTGAAGGCCGATAAAGCTGAAGGCCAGGCTCAGGAGCAGGCCTTGAGGCAGACTTGAATTCTCAGGCTCAGCAAATGTCCTGGACCAATGTCAGGGTGCTGATAGGGAAGAAATGGGACCCTCAAACTTGCAATGGGGATATCTGGGTAGCTGCATTGAGAACCTTGAATGCTCGGGGCCTGCTGTGG